AATGTTAATAGAGCGTTCGTTCAGAGTTATCTGGTCTTAATATCATTCTCAAAACGTTAGCACAAAAACAATATACATCATTCATGGAATGTTTTAGTTGAATGTTCATCTAACATTTTTTAAATGTTACTACTTGTTTCCGAACATTCAAAAGTAACATTATTTCTTAACGTTAAAAAAACAGTCTTTTAAATGTTTTAAAAACATATTTTCTTGGTTATATGTGAACCTTAGGGGAACATTCAAAGTTATCATTTTGCAAACATCATGAGAACGTTACTTTTGGATGTTCTGAACGTTCTGAAACAAGTAGTAACATTTAAAAAACGTTAGTAAACGCCCAAGTAAAATGTTTAGGGGAAAAAAAATTGTTCCATGAGTGATGTATAAATAATGTTTTTGTGCTAACGTTTTGAGAACATTATTAAAGGACAGAAAACTCTGAACAAATGTTCTATTAATGTTACTGAAAAAAAATGTTTGTTCATAGCTTTGAGAGAACCTGCTTTGAAAAGCCACCAAAAATAGTATATAGTCTGGCAGCTCTGACTCTTTTCTTTTTCAGTGTACTGTGATTTGGAACGCTCTAATCTTGCGTGGTATTCAGGTTAGATTGGGCTAATGTTGTCGTTCTGCATGAGTCCAGACGGCCGTCGATGTCTGTGGGTCAGACTGCATGTGAGTTGCATGGTACCAGTGACAGACAGACAGACAGACAGACAGACGGCTTGACACGGTGACTCGAGGGTGATTTACTGTATGCAGGGCTGGTGTCTTAGATGTGGTTCTCCATTGCGCTCTTTCATTGGGTTTAAAAGCAGATAAACCGGTGCTTTTATACACGACATCACGGTGCAGTAATTACAGCTATTCAGAGACACAAAGCCAACAATCGCAGGACATTTCCATATCTGAGGTTCACTGCGGCATTTACTTCAAGGGGCTCACAAGGGCGCCCACCTGGATTCAAACCCAAACAACACCTTAAAGTATTCTCTGAAGAAGAGAGTCCTGCATCGATAGACAGAAACACGCTCCTGTAGCGCCACCAGTGGGTGAGAGGAGCGCCTCGAAAGCACACATCAGGTGCTTGTGGATTCAACTGAGGAGAAATGCTGTCTCCAGCTCCTCAGACGATTCTCCTGTAGAGTTTCAGAAGAGATCTTAACCCTAACCCTAACATCAGGGTTCAGATTGACCAAGATCCCAAAGTCTGTGATATTACCTCAAACATTTCTCATCAAATGATCAGTTGTGCGAAAACTGTTGACTTATTTGTTTCATAATTGATGAACTTTGCAACACTGACACTGCTATTGAACTGAATTTAAATCAACATTGAACAAAACTGATCTGAATAACGACACAATGGCCTTCTGCTGTACAGACGAATTGAATGCGTTACATAATTGATTACCTTTGAGAGTTATTGAACTGAACTGAATCAACAGAACTGAATTGATATAAATAATGATTCTGTTGGTTTCTGTAGAGCTGCTTTACAGCTGAAATTGAATTGGTCTCATAATTAATGAACTTTATATCATTGACACTCTTATTCAACTAATTTGAACTAACATTAAACTAAACTGAGCTGAATAATGACTATTGTCTTCTATTAAGATGCTTTACAGCCGAAATTGAATTTGCTTCTTAATTGATGAAGTTTGAGAGTTATTGAACTGAACTGAATCAACACTGAACTAAACTGATCTGAATAACAACACAGCTATCTTCTGTAGATCTGCTTTTACAGCTAAAATCAACATTTTCATAATTGATGAATTTTGCAACATTGACATTATTGAATCAACATTGAACTGAATTGAGCTGAAAAATTACACACTTGTCTTCTGTAAAGATGCCTTAGAACTGAAATGGAATTCGCTTCTAAACATGTTGAAGGGAATTGAATCAACATTGAACTAAATTGATCTGGATAATGACAATATTGTCTTCTGAAGAGCTGCTTTTGCAGGTAAAATTGAATTTCTTTCATAATTGATTAATTTAGCAAAATTGACACTTACTGAAATAAACTGAATCGATACTTGAACTAAATTGAGCTGAATATTAATGACAATATTGTCTTCTGAAGAGCTGCTTTTGCAGGTAAAATTTAATTTCTTTCATAATTGATTAATTTAGCAAAATTGACACTTACTGAAATAAATTGAATCGATACTTGAACTAAATTGAGCTGAATATTAATGACAATATTGTCTTCTGAAGAGCTGCTTTTGCAGGTAAAATTGAATTTCTTTCATAATTGATTAATTTTGCAACATTGACACTTACTGAAATAAATTGAATCGATACTTTAACTAAATTAGGCTGAATATTAATGACACAGTTGTCTCCTGAAGAGCTGCTTTTAGAGCTGACATTAAATTGGTTTCATAATTGATGAATTCTAGAAACATTGACATTTATTGAAATTAATTCATTTAAAAAATCCAGAGGATTTTTAGCAGAACCATCTTTGATAAATAATAAAGAGCACTAATATTTTCCTGTGGACTCTGTCATGTTTGTATTATAGTGGTTGGATGCAGGGCTGTTCTGGGATCAGCGCTCATCGGCAGGTTCTCCCGTGTTTACCTGCGCACTGATCTCAGAGCACCTGGGAAGCGTCTTGAGCGGATCTTGTCGTCCCGGGGCGTCCCGCGTGAGATCTGAGCCATCTGTGTGCCGCAGGACATTCGCAGCATCTGCCGGTGCTCAGTACAATCACAGCAGAGACCCGGAACGCATGTGATGTGTTTTAATCAGGCCTTCGCTCGGTTAAAATCACACCAGCTGTTCTCATTCTGCTGCTGTTTCTCTCGTCTGACTCACCTGCTGCATCGACTCGCAAACAGCAGCCGCACTGAAATACTTTCTCAAATAAAGGCTCTTAATTGGCATCTGCTTCCATGAAGAATAGTTCACTTAAAAATGAAAATGTGCTGAAATGCGCTCACCCTCAGACCATCCGAGATGTGGATGAGTTTGTTTCTTCATCAGATTTGGAGAAATGTAGCATTGCATCAGTGTCTCAGCAATGGATGCTCTGCAGTGAATGGGTGCCGTCAGAATGAGAGTCCAAACAGCTGATAAAAACATCACAATAATCCACAAGTAATCCACAGCACTCCAGTCCAGCAGTTAACATCTGGAGAAGACAAAAGCTGAAACAAATCCATCATCAAGACGTTTGAACTAAAATACATTGAGTCTATAATCCATAATAACGCTTCCTCCGGTGAAAAAGTGTTCTGGTCTGAATCAGGAGAGAAATCTGCACAGATCAAGCAGCGTTTAAACAGCTCTAAACTAATATGTGGCTGGATTTTGATGTGAGAGACAACAGCAGATGCACTTTTTCACTGGATGAAGAGTTATTATGGACTCGTATTTTAGTTAAAAACGTCTTAATGCTGGATTTGTTTCAGCTTTTGTCTTCTCCAGATGTTAACTGATGGACTGGAGTGCTGTGGATTACTTGTGGATTATTGTGATGTTTTTATCAGCTGTTTGGACTCTCATTCTGACGGCACCCATTCACTGCAGAGCATCCATTGCTGAGACACTGATGCAATGCTACATTTCTCCAAATCTGATGAAGAAACAAACTCATCCACATCTTGGATGGCCTGAGAGTGAGGACATTTTAAGCTAATTTTCATTTTTTTGCGAATTACTGTATTCCTTTAAACATCCATGGAAACTTTCCATTGCACAAAAGGTTCTTAGCTGAAAAAGTGTCTTTCTTTTTTTTTAAATGGCTCTTTTAAGAACTGTTCACTGAAAGGTTCTTTGGGGAACCAAAAATGGTGGTTCTGTGCATGGCATTGCTGTGAAAACACGTTTTTGGACCCTTTGATTTTAAGCGTGTTATGTGGCTTTTCTTCATGATGTCTGAAGTGTCACTGTGTTTGAATCAGCTGTTGTTTTGGTGATGTTTAGTGGCTTCAAACAGGTGTAGAGAATCACATTAAACAGCAACATCATCCACTAACAAACACAATACTGGCCGTCTTCATCTTCAGCACTACTTCTAGTGCTTTAGCAGCTGCTAAGCAAACTTGCGTTTGTTTTGATTGTAAAGTGCATCTTTATTTACAAAAAATCACACATTTCTAAGTGTCCCCAAGATCGTTTGTGTAGTGTGTGAACATGTGGTGAAGTTTGAGGTCCATTTGCTGGACTCTGTCTGAACTTCACATTCTCGTGCAGTCTGTCGCCAGTGAAAACAGCCGTTTGCTGGAACAACAGTCTCTGAATTCCTGAACACTGAGACTGTTTTCATGCAGCACTGGACGCTGATGTTAAATATCCTGAAAAACATTACATCTCGATGATTCATATGAAGCAGAGTGTGTGTGTGTGTGTGGATTCATCCTGGTGACAAAATCATGTGACAAATAACACAAAACCTTTCCTTTGAGGCGCCCTCAAAAGTAAAAAATGATGTGTAAATTAAACTTCATTATTTTATTATCTTTGGAGTAAAGTTATAATTACTATTATTGGTTTTTTACATGTACTAAAGAACATGCTTTAATACTTTGGGTTTATAATAGTTGGGTTTATTGTAATCAATAACCCCAGATATATTATTAGGCCTAATACTATTATTAGTTTTTAGTAATATTTTAAATTACATTTTATTTCTGATTTTACTTTTGTTGTGTGGTTTTGTCAGTTATATATATATATATATATATATATATATATATAAAATAAA